AAAAAAGCGCTAAAAAGACAAAAACAGCACTCAGGGATCGCGAGTGCTGCGCCGGGATCGCCGGAGGCCACACAGTTGGCCCTTTGCTCGGCTTAATTGCTGTCACATGTAACCTTACCTGTGTCCCAATTAGCCCCGCGACTCTCCATTAGGAGATCCCATGAGCTGTAGAGCCAGTGACCAAGGGCACCTCGGGGTTTGGGGCCTAATAATTAGAGTGTAACTCGACTCGACTCGGCTTACGATCAATTTGACCAGGATTTCACGAAAAGAGTCTAATTAAACGAGGATCAGCATATGGTTTGGTAATGTACGTAATATTCATTCATTAATCCCTCAATTAAGACCACATCAGTGCAGAGACTCTTCTTTAAGTCTTTCATTAAGACGAGAAAAGGCAATTGTTACATGCCGTCTTTGAGTAATAACATTGTACCAAATGAAAGATGTGTTTTGTGAACCGTGGTTTAATTCTTATGTTGACCAAGGGTGTCAAACATAGGGCCCAGGGGCCAGAACTGGCCCACTGTGACGTCATTAATTACTTAGGTGATTTTCAGTTCAATGTGCTACAATTTCCGGTGTGGTGAAAATATGTGTATACAAGTATTTTAAGAATGATGTGAAACAAAAGACACAAACTACGACTCTACATGTCTATTTTTATTTTTTTTTTAAATCTTAGGATCTTTTCTTAAACTGATGGTTCATAAACTGTGAAAATGTCCCAGTTTACCAAATGTACATTTACTTTTTTATGTGTTTTTTGTTTTTTCCCACACAGGTTATTATAATAAGGTTGTGATCCATGAACTATAACAAGTTGGACACTCCTGATTTAGACCTTCACAAATAGATTAATGTCTATAGGGAAAGTTTAAAAATCAAGAAAATGAGATAAAATTATTACTTGTAATTATATTTGCACATTTTATATCTGGGCTGTAATATCAACGGATTATAGACCAGAGGATGTATACATCTGTCTAAACTGTTTTTAGCACGAGTTGCCCAGTTTGTTGGATATAAGACGTAGAGATCGCTAACTTTTATTGATAAACTGATATAACTGATATTATATTATATCTCGGTGCTCAAAGCTCCAAAAGAATATATTAGAGAAGAACTCGTGATCAGTTTATTCAAAATACAGTAAATAAGTCAAATCAATAATTTTTGAATCAGTTTAATTTAGGACCTATTTTTTCAACCTTCTGTTGGTCCTAACCAAATGAACTTGGAGCTAGCTAACAGTGCAGCTCAGCTGAGCAGAGTGTTGTTGATCTTTACATCCTGTGATGCTTTCACAAGCAGAAGCCGGTCATCACGGGTGGTTACTGTAAATTCATGGGCGTAGGTTTTGTTTCTGCATTGGGCTCGGGCATTAATTGAAAGTAGTTCCTTCCCCAGGAAATCTTAAACTTCATTTCCTGCACTCTGATTAATGTTTCTGGGTCAGTACGTAGCTTTTCTGCATCCATTTATGGCAGAACTATCTGGAATATAATAGCGCAGCTGATGACTGAGATCACAGTTCTGTGTGTGTATGTGCATGCTTTTGTCAAAGATAATTATAATTTACTCCCAAAGATTTAGTGGTGGTATGAACTCTGTAAGTTAAAGAAAAGGCCCATTGTTGATGAATAAAGTCCCGTCCCTGTCAGAGTTATTGTGCTGAGCCCTGAGTAATGTTTTTTTTCTCAGTGATTTCTCAGTTTGGAGGAGACAAATACGCGTGTCCTGCTTTTCACAAAGCAGATGTTGTATTTGAGTATTCAAACTTATATGATAAAAGCATATCCATCTGGGTGATCCAGAAAGGTGAACATTC